ATAGCTGATTGTGAAGGAAAAAGTGTTTTGATGTATGCTTTGGAAAATGACAAAGACTTGGCACATGCAATACTGGATGCTGGTGCAGATGTCAATGCAATTATTGATGATGAAGGAAAAAGTGTATTGATGAATCTTGCTCAATATAATGAAAACAGTAAAGTAAAGCCAAGGACTACTACTTCCATATCCAATGTTCATGGTGAAGCACTTATTACCAAGTTAATCAAAGGTGTTGGAAATATTGACATTATGGACTGCCATAGGAAAACTGCCTTGATGTATGCAATCCAATTTGACAATACAGCCATAGCTTGTGCATTGATTGATGCTGGTGCTGATCATAAAATTATTGATGATGATGGCCGATCTGCATTGTTCTATGCTGTAATCACTGGTAATAAAAGTATGGTTAAAAGATTCATCAAAGTTGGCACTGACCTGAATATTGCTGATAGTCTAGGCATGACTGCTCTGATGCATGCTGTACAAAATTCCAAAACAAGTATAGTGGATGAATTACTAGCAGCAGGTGCTGATGTTGATAAAGTTGATAATAAAGGTAGAAGTGCTCTGACATATTGTGCTCAAGATAAAGACAATAGAGAAATTTCATCCATCTTTCAGAAAAAAAGGATGTATGATAGGTTAGTTGGCTTTGAAGATATTCAGCAAAAAATCATTTCTAAGTTGATCAGGGCTGGTGCTAATGTGAATATTCCTGATAGGCAAGGCAAAACATCTTCACTTCATGAAGTCATGGCTTGTGCATTACTTGATGCTGGTGCTGATCATAGTGTCATTGATGATGATGGTAAATCTGCATTGTTCTATGCTGCTATCAATGGTAATGAAAGTGTTGTCCAGAGATTGATCAAAGCTGGTGCTGACATGAACATTACTGATCATCAGGATATGACTGCTCTGATGCATGCTGCTAAAAATGGTAGAGCTATTGTAGCTAATGAATTAATAATTGCAGGTGCTGATGTCAACATGACTGATGATAAAGGCAGAAGTGCTCTGATACATTATGCTCAAAATAGTGGTAAAACATATTCCACAATTGACTTCCACAATATTGGTTTTTTATTGATTAAAGCTGGAGCTGACATAGATCTTTCAGATAATCAGAAGAAAACTGCTTTAATGTATGCTTTGCACAAATATAATATACTTCTAGCACATAAATTGATTGATGCTGAAGCAAATGTCAGCAAACTGGATAATCAAGGGAAATCTGCTTTGAGTTATTGTTTTCCAAGTCGCTCCTTGCCTTATTCATATGTTGATTTTGATTATATTTTACATTGTCACAAACTTAGTGTTTCATGTAAGTTGATTAAGGCTGGTGCTGATGTAAACCTCATTGATGATGAAGGGAAGACTCCTTTGATGTATGCTGCTCAATACGACAGTGAGAGTTTGGTAATTGCACTGATTGAAGCTGGTGCTGATGTCAATGTGAGTGATGTAAAAGGTAGAACTGCTTTGGTTCATTCTCTTCAAAGGCATCATAAACATTTAGCTCTTGTTTTAATCAAGGCTGGTGCTAATGTCAACACAAGTGATCATAAAGGTCAAACAGCCCTGTTCCATGGTCTAGACTATGAAGATGTTATTCATGCATTGATTGAGGATGGTCATGCATCTGTGAATAAGAAAGATCGCTATGGCAGGTCTGTGCTGTTTTATAGCTTTATCAAGAGTGTAACTATATCACATTATCTCCTTGAAAAAGGAGGAAACCTGAATTTGAAAGACAACTGCAACATGAACATCATTTCCTTTTGGGTTGAAAACATATTGGCAAGAAAAGAAGAATGTTTTTCAGTTCACTTCCAAAAGCTAAATACCTTGCTTGAAGTACAACCTAATAAAATATTTGAAGCAATTATTAATTCAGTGTTTTGCAAGATCTTTCATCTAGCACAAATGCAAAAAAGAAAAGGAAGAAGAAGACTAAAACATATTTTTGATGCAAGCAAAATTATTGCCGCAATGCAGTCATCTAAAAAGTACATTGCAGAACAAGCTGCCACAGAGAGAAATAAAATTTTAAAAGTCATAAAGTTTTTGAAAGGAGACAGGTATCTGTATACAAATCTTCTGGAAATTGCTGACTTTCTAGTTGAATTGGGTGCCAACCCCCATTATGCAGATTCAGATGGAAATACAGCACTTCACTATGCTACCTGCCTGCCTCTAGTTGGACCACATGAAATGACTCTTGTAATGACAATGTGCCACAAACTGGAAGATCTGGGAGTATCATTCAATGCAAAAAACCACAAAAATGAAACTCCTCTTTTGTTTTGTTTGTCTCAGAAAGAGTGGATAAACACTAGTAAAACTAGCTCTCAAGTAAAAATCTTGGTTGAAGTCTGTAAGTTTTTATTAGAATATGGATCAACTGTAGAAGAGACGACAAGAAGTGGGAAGACAGTTTTTCATTTGGTTGTGGAGCTGTTTCAAGAAGGTCTTTGCTTGAATGATGAGAAAATAGGAAAAGAAGTTTTAGCTGAAACAGTAAAGCTACTTGAGTTGTTTCCATGTTCAATACCAAGTACTAAAATGGCTGTCAACAAAAGGGACACCAATCTCAACTCTCCACTTCATCTTTGGGCAATGCTGGAACTACATTTAAGCTCAAAGAGTGACAGTAGTGTTGTTGACCACAATGCCTTGAAGAAGAACCTCTTAGGCACAATTTTTAAGCATCTTGTTGCTTGTGGAGTAAAACTAAATGGAAGAAATAACAATGAGGAAACACCTATCCATCTGTGCAGATCATGGACAGCTCTCAAACTCTTAATAGATGCTGGAGCAAACCCTAAAGTCTTTGATATAGAGGGTCGTTCACCTCTCCTGGTTGCATCAAAGAATATTTCACTCAGAGGTTATGATCATATTTATCAAGATGTTTCACAAGAACCAAAAGCTTTTTGGAAAACTGTCCTTGACAACAATCTTGATCCATGGGCTGTAGACAAGCGTGGCACGTCTGTTTTAAGCATTCTCATTCAAGAAGAAACCTTCCATTTGTCAAAAGCATTGGTGGAAGTTGCTTGTGAAGAGAACTACATTCAATCTGATACCATAGCAGTTTCACTGTTAAATGCTGTTTGTCAAGACAGCTCCACACGCAAGCAGTGGAAGAGCATCCTYGTAGAAAAGATTTTAAAGTCAAGGAAGACTAAACCCATCAGTTATGAAAGCAATGAAGATACTGCACTTCATCTCTGCTGTAGAAACATCATAAAACCTTCAGAAGAACCATCTCCTGATGAAGAGATAAAATTATTTTACAACAAAGCCAATACTTCTGTGATTAGTGCAAAAACATCTGTTCATTGGACAATTGCAAAACAGCTTCTTACCTATGGAAGTGATTGTAATGCTCTTGACACATCTGGCCAGTCTTGTTTGGACATAGCCAAGAAGTGTCCAGCACTAAAAAGTCTCCTGTTAAAACCATTAGACGTTGAGTTTCCATTGGTATTCCAATGGACATCCATATCAACAAAGTACAAGCCCATACTGTCAAAAGTTGCTAGACGACAAGAGTGCAAGCTGCTAGACTCATATTGGTATTATGAAACCAATATACAAAAGGGTTCATTTGGTCTTGTTTTTGCTGGGATGAATGAGAAAGATGGCAGGGAAGTCGCTATCAAACGCATTGAAAAGTTGCGCARCCAACAAYTASAARMAGATAAGAARGAAATMAAAAMTCTTAYTGCYCTTGCAGACTGYGWACAGGTGGTTMRATATTTGTCCTWYACTGAAGATGAACACTTTTGYTATGTGATTTTGGARCTGATGGAAGGAAACCTTGATGATTACCTTGATGGTGCTGCATTTGATGATGCAAAAAGTGTTCAACTCTGTGGTGATGTGTTAAATGGTCTGAATTATCTACATCAACAAAACATCTTCCATCGTGACCTCAAGCCAAGCAATATTCTGTTCAAAACCTATCCTAAATTGTGTTTGAAAATTGCTGATTTTGGTCTGAGCCGTCRTATTGATTCCCCTGGCAATTACACTTACCTTGGAGGTTCTGTGGTTGGCACAAGATGTTGGATTGCTCCAGAGGTGCTCAAGTTTTCAACTAAAGAAACTAAACAAAAAACTAAACTAAACAATGGGGCCTGTGATGTGTTTTCAGCTGGACTTGTCCTTTATTATATTCTGTCAAGGAAAAAACATCCTTTTTCCCCAGCTGACTGTAAATATAAAGGTGAACTGCAGATCAGCAATGAAACAGAAGCCAATGTTATAAATGATAGGAAGGAGAGTTTTGATGGCACTCTCTTTTCTGAAGCTACTGACCTCATGCTTAGTATGCTGGACAGTGACCCAAATAAACGACCCACTGCAGCAATGACACTGACACATCCATTTTTCTGGTCTGAGAAGAAGAAGATGGACTTTTTATCTGCTGTTGGAAATCAGCCAGAATTTGAATGCCCTCGTGCTTTATTGCATAAAAGAACACTGCCTTTGAGCATTCTGGAAAAAGAGCTAGATGGTAAAGTGAAGAACATAATGGCACACCCAACCTGGATTGATGCAAGATATGTACAGATGCCTACTATTTACAAAGAAATGACACAAAAGCGAAGGCTTTACAATACTTCATCTGTAGTGGAACTAGTGAGGTTTATACGAAATACTCTTGCACATGTCTCTGCAGACAAGCGACCAACCCTAGTAAAACAACTTGTGCTTGAAGACTTTGTGTTTCTGGAATATTTTCCCAATCTTGTTATGGAAGTTTTCAAATGTATTAAAAAGCATAGATGGGATTCAAGAAAAGAAATCAAGTACCAACTTGGTTAAACRGCAGTACAAATTAAGGTTAGTAATAATTATTATGACTTTTCATCACGAACAGAAATCACGAACAACTTAACGTTTTGGGGGGGAAAAGGTTGCATACAGTTAAATATCCCCTCCCTTCTTCTTCATTCTGTTTTTTTTTTTGTGAAAGTGTTGTGGGACTTGGATTCCCTTCTCAGTGCCTCCCCCAATCCTCTTGAACTTTCGATGGCCGCCCTCCTAAAAAGATCCCACCCCTTCAACCCCAATAATTGATGTGGAAGTCTGTAATTGGGAAAGAGTAGAATCCTCTAGCATGCAGCAATACCAGGAACTCATAATGGGTTTGAAACATGTAACAATATATTATGATACGGAACATTCCGATATGCAAATTAGGAGTTTTGATACCATAATTGCTTCTGTCACTGACTTAATCTTTTYGCTGAATTTGCTGACCTTCAGAGAAAACTTTCTGAATCTTTAAATCAACATTTCCGATATCTGTACATCTTTACTGATAGTTTTGGTAATTTAACAAGAGGACCTGATTTACTGGAATTAAGAAATTTGTCAAGAAAAATTGTAATGTTTCTGAGYATTGCACTAAAGAAATGTATAGCCATTACACATTTCAACTTCCTTAGGAGTTTCTGGCAATACCACATGGATCTATACCTATCTGTTACTCGGRGGCTGACTGGGATTTGGAGCTGGTTTAATATCTTGACTTTATAATGATGCCTTTTTTTCAGACCGCTTAAAGAGCCTTTTCAACCTAAAGGAAGAAAGGAAGCCTTGTAGTACATCATCAGAAATAAATGGCAAAACCAGATATAGGGACGTAGCCAGGGCCCTCCTCCCTCTATCCTCACACTGTAGAAGCCAAAACATCTGTCTAGTTTTGCAATTTTCTGAAAATGGGTTCTGGGCAAAGCAAAATCCTGGCAATGCTTCTGTAGAAATACTTAAAATTAATATTTTTTGTAGTTTTTGTATGGAAATAACTGAACTAAAGCTACTTTGCTTTTAATTATTACTGTTAAAAACACACATATATATATATTATATAGATTCATGATGCTTTACGGTGTGACTACTTCAACCAAAGCCACCTTGACAAATTTTCTACAAATTATCCAATAGTGTTTGAGCAATTAGACAATAGATTAGCGGCAAATTTTGAATTTAGATATTCTTCCGTTGTTCCGGTTGGTAAACCCAAGTGATGAAGAAGAGCTTGTAATATATTTTCTTTGCAAATTAGTGATTTGTGTCACCAAAGGTAGAGAAAAATAGCAATGTACGACTTCAAATATGACAGGAAAAAACAGTCTTTATGATTACAATTTGTTTCTTCCAGACAAAGATATAATCAGGCTGACACGGTTAGATCTCATCACCATGTTGCTCTGCAACAGCACGTTTATTTGACAACAAAGGTGCCAACAGTCTTCTCAGCCGTGTAAACCCATGGATATTTGTCCGATTTGTAGCAATTTCATTTTTCAGATTCCTACTTTTGATTGGCTAATTTGTGGAAAATTTGTTGAGGTGGCTTTGGTTGGAGTGGTCGCACTGTAATATTCAACAATAATTTAATTGATGTATTGGAAAAAGAATACCTTCCTAAAGTTGTAGACAATGAAGACACCCGTGTGAAAAAAAGAGCAATAATTTTTTTTTGTTATTGCATATACTTAAACGTTTTCCTAAGGAAAAGAGACTACTGTCATCATGACAGATATATCAGCCCAGCACACTASGTGTCCTATTCAAAGGGACATTCATGCAGAATATTTGAAGCTACTCATTAAAGGACTAATAAGTATACAGACTGGACATCCAAAAATATATTTCTCTACAGTCCTCCYCCTCTCCCAGGTCTAGTGTTGTAATGATTTGGTGTTTGACATTGCATGGCAAGAGGGAGGAATACAGAGGTCCATCAATTTGGAATATGTGCATAAATGCAAGGTCTCRACCATTTWGTCCAAGATTTGAGTARTCTCAACCATTTTGTCCAAGATTTGAGTAGTTGCTAGAGTGAAGTCACTGATTTTTTTATTKYRCGGGTTAAAGGCCTTAATAATCTTTTAGGGTAGTTTTCACCTCATATTTGCATCTGACAATCGAAAACTAAAGTAATCATAGATTATAAGCGCATAAAATAAGTTTTGTAGACTGTAAATATTRTARTCTGTTTAGACAGGTGTATTGCATYAGCTATACTCATAATAATATTAAGGGAATAAGAGAAAAGGGTACATTTTGTAGATCAAGTTAGGAGCATGGAATTTTGTACTCATTAAAGGCATTTACGATTCAGTTTCATTGTATTTACCAGGCATTCACACTTACTCTCATTCTATGGCCTTCYATTGCCCTATTTCACTATGATGTCAAATCAAAACAATCTTCTACAATCTATTGTTGAAATGCAAAGGATCATGGTCGTCGGATGGGGTCAAATCTGCCATTTTAGATTAAACTTTCGCTAGGAGAAAGTTTTGTTGAATTTTCTATTGGATTTGGYGATTCTATCCCCCACATAAACAAGCAGTGACGTCATAGTGAAATAGGGCAATTGATAGCAGTGAATTTCAACTGAAGGAACTACTATCGTTAAATATAGGTCCTTTTTTTACACATMCTAGACGTCTGTTGTAAACAGGCTTTTTTGTCAGAGAGCAAACCCATTCTCAGGGCCTTCTCTTCTAATTTTGTTTCAAAATGGTGGCACTTGTAAGAAAGAGGTCTTTTCTTTGAACGCTGCCATTTTGAAAATAGCAAGAAGAGAAGGCCTCAAGAACCAGGTTGATCAGAGTAGATATCCTCACTTCTCTATGGGACAAACTAGAGGTTTACTTACATTCTTTTATTTTCTTCATCTTCCAACAAGAATGCAGGTAAAAAGACTGCACATCATACATGAATGCTTGAACAAAGCTTTTTATTTTGAATTTTAAATTCTTCAAAAAACAATAGGATGATAAGCAGAGAGTCATGTCGGTTCAAGATTTTGAAAACTTTACAAAATGCAGTCATCAGTATGATAATCGTGATAGTATATGTATGGAACTAGTGTTAGAAAAATTGAATTACATGACAACTACCTAGAATTAAAAATRTTGACATAAGATTACTGCTTCTCATTTGATTTGTAAGGTTACATGTATATGTATATTAGTGATATGATATTGAAAAAAAATTAAACCAAAAAAAAAAAAAAAGCTATTAAAAATCACAGACAATAGATCAAATCCACTGGTATACCATTTCAAATCAACTGTCATTGCCTTGTGTATGGTATTTCTCTGTTTACAAGGAATGCCTAATACTTTAATACGAATGAGACTTAAACATTTCACTACTAAGCAAATGAAAGAAATGTTCTGAAATTGAAAAGAAAAAAAGAATTTCTCCAAGTGGATAAGATCTACTTTAGTCTGTGATGGCCGGTTTAACTGACGAAATTCACAGATAAAGTTGGCTCTTCAATCTTCAGGTTCACTCTTCACGCTGGCTGGTGAACGGCTGCGCGACTTGCTAGGGGATTGGCGAGTATCTCCATTGTTTCTGTCATCTTTGGGGCTCAGCCTTTCATGTTTTGGAGATGCATCAGGAGAGCTAGAAAAACACAAGAATTTTCTTCAATGATCTTCTAAGATGATTAAAAATAAGAAAATAATATTGTCTCTTACTGGCTTCTATCCCTTCGGCGTTCACGGAACGGACTTGGAGACCTGCGTTCTCTCTCTCTGGATGGAGACCTTGACCGTGAACTGTTTCTCCTCTCATATGAATGTGATCTGGATCTTCTGCGCCTAGATCATTAATTTTTTGTCAGATTAATGCTACCTTTTTCAAGGAAATAAGAGTGAGTAAACACTTACCTTGGAGATCTGCTTCTGGACCTGCTTCTGTTGCGGYGAGGTGATCTTGACCTACATAAGAAAAGACAAATCTATCAGCATTAATTATATATTTTTGTGCAGACTCTCAGACTCCAAAATTAATAAACAAACACCAAATACCTAGTCTTAAAAAACACTTTTTTAGCTTTAGGTATTTCTATCTTTAACATATAATTCAAAATGACATGTTTTAGACTATTAACTTTACAGGTTAAYGATCACAACTAATGCTGAATTTTTTTGTTATAGGCCAAAATAAAAGTATGAGCACTAAAACTTGTGCCATATTTTAGGGCTTTATTTTCTTTCATTCAAACTCATTAATTTCTAAGGATTCCTTTTAGTTTGATTGACGGATTCAAGGACACCTACTATCAGCCTTTCTGGGATCATATTCGGATCTAGCATGAGCACAACTATAATTTATGTCTAATACAGGGTCTCTTGTAACCAAGCTAGGATACCTTTTTGTTTATCAATTAATAATTTATTTCAAAACTAGATGCCATAATTTTTCAAGATTTTAGTTTACTAATTTTAGGATTTTTTAGAAAACTTTAGTTATGGCATTCATTTCATAGGGTCTTTTGTTAGTTGAATTCTATATTATCAGAGTTTTACTCAACTGTACATGCTTTTAGATAGTGGTCAGTAACCTAGCAAAGTTAATGTCCTGTCATAATGACTATTACAATTATAAAGAAATACATAACAGTGCTTAACGCTAATGCTGGAAAAGCAAACAGAACGCTTTAGCTTGGGCATAATGTTCCCTCAATTCAAACCATGTGTCATTCCGTAAGGTACCATTTCTTTGTTTCATTTTTGTGAATGAGAAGACGCATAAATATAGATACAATTCAAACAAAGAATCTTGTTTCCAAGAGAATGACAYGTTGTCTGAAGTGGGAAGCAATTCAGCCAAAGAAAAGAGATCTATAGTATATTTTATATTTTTTTCAAAAGTGAATGCATACTTCTTTATTCTTGTACAAGACAAAGAATATAAGGGCAAGTTAGTGTTATGCACTGCACTGTATATATAAACAGCTTTATTTTCACTGATTCTTTTGTCTGCTCAAGTGCAASAAAACAAATAAAGTGAAAATAAAGCCTTAATCTGGCTTTTATTCATACTAACAATTTTTTTCATCTCAACAGACAGTATGCATGTTTTATTGAGATTTATAAAGAAAATCCAGAGTTCTTGATTAAGTTTAGTTTATAAAGTGTTAAGTGGAAACTTTAGGAAGTATTCTTACTGGGGATGACGGTATTTGACAACAAGTGTGATCACATAGGAATTGCTCGTCAAGTGTTCCCTACTAGAACAAGCTCAACCATGCTTTACGATCACAGCTATTTCCTTAAACCACTATTTATCAGCCCTGCTGAGCGCAACAGAATGAGAGTACTTACTCAGAGAAATGAATTTTGAATGGCAAGTTTTGTGATCAACGAGCACTGTAGAAATATTTCTCGAATTCGCTGAAGATCACAGGTTGGTAGAGAGGCTAAAAGACTTAGGTCGGTGGTAGATGAACCACACCACTACAAGGCAATGTTGAGGCACAGTGCAAGGTAGGTGACTCTCGTGTGTTGTGAGCGAATTGGCACCGAAGATGGAGAATGCGCTGCTAGTTGGTAGTGGGTTGCACGCCCGTAGTTTTCGACAAAATACATTTCTGCCCTGCATTAACACAACAGGTTTAGTGTGAAATATCCTTGATACATTAAGACTAAAGAAAACAAGGATATTTTTTTTTTGGATTATAAAACATGGACTTGCTGTTTGGAGCATAATATAATATCTGGGTACAACATATTCTGGGTTTTACGTTTAGCTTAYGAAAACAGCAGTGAAAAAAGCATTCAAATTCATAAACAATGGTAAAGCTACTTTCCTTAACATCTGGCATACATCAATATACTTTATAWTCGTGGCCAATCAGAATGTGTTTATTAACGAAGATCAATTTCAGTAAACATATCCTTTTCAATCATTAAAGTTTGATGTTTGGGGACATACAAACCTGAAAAAAGTTAAACTCGAAACAAATTCCAAAAAAAAATTTTCTTKCACTTTTCAAAAGATAAAACACAAAGCAATGTATGTCAAAATGCAGAGAATTTTCTTTTTTCAAATAATTTTGAGTGTTTACGAACGCAAGCCAATATTTAATTAACTCGAAAAAACCTGTCAAGATCTGACCGAATTTCTGAAAGCTTTTAGAGTGTTTTCAAAAATCTTACGGAGATGAAATGTAAATATTTTTTTTGGAAGAAAATCTAGCAATAGTAGATTGAAGCTTAAAAAGCTCATTACAAACGGTTTACACAAGGAAGACAAATATGCAAATGAGCTCCTAAGATTTCCGCGTTCTTTTGGCTTTTTGATACGCTTTTTTCCTCTGGCTTTATTTGAAAGCATCAATCACTAAAACATGAAATCTTAGTTTTTATGATTTCAAGAAACAAGAAGTTAAGAATACTTTWAGTCAATATTTTTTAAAATAAATTATGGAATAGGGAGGTAATTTCATGGCRAAACGTGAGGATGCGTACCTTGAACGACGGCGCTTTCGAGTACAATCACGAGCAAAATGACCAATTCTTCCGCATTCATAGCACTTCTCTGTCAGTCCTAACCTAGCTGCTCTTCCTCCTCGAGTTGGACCGCGAGCCATCTCAACACGAATGTTTGTTCCGCAAATGTACTTCCCGTCMAGACCTCTTACGGCGTCTTCAGCATCTCTTCTGTCTTCAAACACGCAAAACGCGAAGCCAGGTGGATTCCTTGCCACCCAAACGTCTTTCAGAGGACCGAAATACTCAAATTCGTTTTCTAACTCTCGTTTTGAGGCRTTTTCACCGAGATTTCCGATGTAAACTCGACTCATTTCGCAGGTTTTTTTAAGCGTCTTTAACAACGTYGCTTCAAAATGGCTGACAAGAGAACCAGGTGCACAGTGCAGAGGGCAATGCTTTGCGAGTCCCATCGGCAAATATTCGGAGAAAATCGGAAAGGAGTCGTTCACCASAGGAGTCCCATTATCTGTTATTTTGAATGTCTGCACTATAATAAATCCAAAAAAAAAAATTTATGAATATCATTTTTGTCTTCTTTTTGAACTAAGACGTTAATATTCTAGCYAATTTGATATGCATTTTAATCTAAAAAAGTTAACTAAAGTCTTAACTTAAAACTTGGGCCTCCTGTGGATCTTCGAAGTAATGTTCCAGATCTCCGCGCCACAAAATTCAATAAACATGTCGGACGTCAAGGATGAGAACTTTTGGAAAGGATTTTGACATTAGTTTTAAAGGTTAAGACCATAGAAAACGCCATAGAAAGGAGACCAGAATGACTGACAAAAGCTCAGAGTCGCTTATGCAATACTTGAATGGTGAAATATCGGTTTTTGAATGGTTGGAAATTGGAGACGAGGAAAAAGGCAATGAAGAAAACAAGGAGACAAGCATGCAACTAGTTGATGAGGATGAGGATGATGGAGATGATGGTGATGATGATGATGATGATGGTGACTTAGAAGAAGAAGATTTAGAGAGTGAAGGTCAAGGAGACAATGATACTGGTAATCACTTTTTTTACAAGAATAATAGTGTAAAGATACCAACATCGGTGTGTCTCGCGGCGGGGAGWGGGGAGGGTGTGTCTTGTGGAGGGGAGGGGAGGGAGTTGGAGTAAGTAAATAGTTTGTACTTAGGTATGTGAGGATAATATATTTTGAATTTAAATAATARATAAATGAGATGTTACATTGGCATCTCCATGGTGTGGTTACTGAAAAAAATTWAAATTTAGAGGTTGATTTTTGTGTAGAGAGGAAAACTGAGAATTCTACTCACATGGAACACCTTTCTATTCAAGTGTTATCTCTTTTGTCTTATGATCATTTACATAGGTTTCGTTTTTTATCACAGCTGATGCCGAAATTGCTCCATTATCTTCTGAGAGTCAGGAATTAACAGAACCAATTCAAGAAATGCCAAAAACAGACTCTCCAGCACCAGGAATCACAGAGGTACAAACACCAAGACGCATGACAGAGCTACTCCTTGGACTACCTGGWGCCAAGAAGGCTCAGAAACTTGGTGGAACAAGCGTGGATGAGTTTCGTGCTGATATCCCCATTTCCAGGAAGCGTAGACAAGGTCGACCCAGGAGGAATGAAGTCCCTCCAAAATTTAGGCGTCGGATGGGAGAAGCTAATATCTTTTGTGCAAAGGGKGAATATGACAAAGCAAAGGATATTTGTATTGAAATAATAAGACAAGGTACATGTAATTACAGTAAATATTACTGAAATTTTTAGATAATTATTAGAACGTTGATAAGAATAATGGCTGAATGGACAATTATTAGAACGTTGATAAGAATAATGGCTGAATGGACAATGTCTGGCCAATGCTTATTAATGTCCAACTGTACACCTCTTAGCCTGGTATACTTTTGACCAATCACACTGACTGGTCACATACTGTAATTCATCAGTGTGGTTGGTCATCATGTCCAGCCRTTGAGCMGMTTATTATTTTTAGCCCAGTWACAAACTATGTTTAGARCCTAGATACRAACAGAGAATAAGCCATGGATTGTGTAAATTATGAAAATGGGCTGACTTTGTTGACTACATCAAAAGTTTGCCAAACATCTATTGTTAATCAAAGGTGTAATTATTGTTAAATCAAGTCTTTTATGTTTTGATTTTCATTTTTGTGTCTTAGTTCCAAAGTGTCCTGAACCCTTTCAAACTCTTGGAATGCTGTATGAAATGCAAGGTGACATGGAAAAAGCACTGCAGGTAAGAAAAAGAAATAAATTCCTACCAATATTTATTAGTGGCAAATAATAATCAATAAACAGTAGCAGTAGCAGTATTACACTCACCTCTCCCCTCTTAGGTCTTAGGTTTGATTCCTGAATTCAGCATCATGTATGAACAGTWTTTGTTGGACCTCTAATTTGACTCCTGTTTTTGTAGTTTTATCCATATCTCCTGGCTAAACCCAGCACACTAACGAAGTTCCAATTCAATCTGGAAGCTAGTAGTGCCGAGATTTAATGTTGATCAGACTAGAAGCTACAGACAAAGTGCTTTTGTTAAAAGCTTTTTAATTTTGTTGTTGTCATAGTTTCTTCTTATAACGGCTTATTTGAGYAAGACTGGTGATGTTGAAGAATGGCTGAAACTTGCTGGCATGTCMCTGGAACAAAACAACTATAAACAAGCCATGGCTTGCTACAATCAGGGTTAGTTCTAGTGTTTAAGACTATCGGTACTAAACCTGAAACAGAACTGGATTTAGGGGTGGTCAATAGAGCCCTTTCTAGATTGGGATGTATTAAATGTCTTTTCCCTAGTAATATTTATATATATATATATATATATAATAAAGTAATATTTTCATACTTGCAAATTGGGATCTCCTCTGCAGGTTTTGTTTTGCGAAGTCTGCAGTGAAGTTCGTCTACCACCAAATTTTTACTCACCCCCCCCATACTTGTTTTTCAGATTCCAAAATCCACCCCGGTGAGAAATTATGTGGTCAATGCATGTTCATTTTACTTTTCATTTATCTCTTTTTACCAGCACTAAAGCAAGATCCTGACAATTTTAGCATATTATGGGATAAAGCAGCTTTGTGTTACCAGATGAACGACATGAAAAAAGCGATAGAAGGTTATGAAGCTACTTTGAAGGTCAGTAATGAGCTAGAATGATGATTGTCATAGAGTGATTTTGATACAAGTGGTATAAACCCCTTGCAGCACCTCGGAATGCAGCTTAATTTAAAGAACATAACAATTGGTTTCCAATTCTCTTGAGATTGAAATTATTTTATTTTGTCCTCCAAATTGAGCTGCTTTGATGTCACATGCAAGAGGATGTATTCATGGTATTTTTCATTGGAACAATTAAATCATTTTCAATGATATCTCTTGCAGGTTCTCCCAACTGATTGCCCAGAAAAGTATTTTGATTTGGCAATAGAAATAGCAATGGTAAGTTCAACATCAGGCTGGCCAGCTCTACCCTACAGTATAAGGAGGTCAAGAGTGGTGTACCAAGGTAGTAGTACGCCTCTGGGGTCTTGGATTTGATTCCTGGACTCAACATCATGCATTAGCAGAAATCATTAGGTTTTTCCTTTAATTGTTTCAAGAGTTTTTTTCTCCTGGTACTCTGGTTTTCCTCCCTCTGCAAAACCTAACAAGCTATTTTAATTTGATGTGTGACTTTGCCATGCATGCCCAGAAACTTATCCACRCAGAGGTCACCAAGTAGGGACCCATTGCTTGGCACATTGAAGGAACCACAATAAATCTATTGCTACATAGTTTGAATATCTCACATCAAAGTTTCTATGTCGTTTTGTTGCATTGGTGCCGYGCTTGTGCTGTGTCGTGTATTTTTGCCTYGTAACGTGCTACGTCATGTTCCCTCAGCTCAGGTCATATTGAGTGATATCTCATTAGGAAGTCAAGTCATTTCGTTTGGAGTTGTGCTTCTGTCGTATCACATTTTCTTTTATCAGGTCATGTTATATGTCATGTTATGTTATGCGATTTCAGGGTATTCATAAAATCTTAATTTGAGGTGTATTATACTAAGTTCTTATTTACTTAGTTATTTACTTATATTTTGATGATATTTTTTATATGATGTTTTCAAAGATACACCATGAAAACTCTTCACTTGACAAGGCTATAGAAGTAATGTCCACAGCCTTTGAAAAGTACCCAGGCTATTCAGACTTCAGAGGTATGTTTTAGGAGTCCAAGAGATCAGAGTTGGAGAACAAAGCTGAGAGTTCCCTAGTTGAGACATTTACTGAGTAAGAGTTTTTGTTAGAGTATATAATTTATATGCTTTTATTTTTCTTTCTTTTTGCAGCAATAAATCTGTTAGCGGAATTTTACATATCTGGAAAGTGTTATTCTTTGGCTCTAAGGGTAGAGAATACATTTAGTGAAATTAATATATTCCTTTTCTTTCTTACTTAATTTCTTTCTTTCCTTTTTCTTTTTCTCCTTCCCTTTTATTCCCTTCTCTTTCCCTTCCTTCCCAACCCTTCCATACTCACTCTTTTTATTCCATTCACTATAAGCCATATAACCAATTCTCTGATTTTCCATTATCTGCAGTTATTGACTTCGAATGATTGTTATTTTCTCTCCTAAGAATATTTGTACGTTATGCCATATCACCCAGCAGTCATACCCAAGTGGGGATGCTTCGTCAGACACCATGGAACCGCTGTCATCATTTTCTAATTTAATGGGTTATGACATAGAGAGTTCTCCTCAAAAAGGAAAAGGTAAATAAAGAAAGTTGTCCTTATTTTCTTGAAGGTAGCACTTAATAGTCATCATGCATCATGCAAACCTATGGCCCTCATTCCATGAGAAAATTAGAAGTCGGAATTTAGGAATTGATTTTTGCAGAGGAGTTAATTTGAGGATGGAAAAACCAAGAACAGCTAGCAGCTCTCTACTTACCCACAGGCAAATATGTTGGCATTGTGTTGCAATAACACTTTTTTTCAAAGCTCAGAAAATATTTAATGGACTTTAAATTGCAGACCCTTGCCTATAAACYACATAATATTGCAAAACCCTGTGAACTGCCTTATTAACCAAATAGAAGGTTTACCAAAGAGACGGTAACAACACACATGCCAATCATCATACACACTTGTCACACAACAGTAATCATTCGCTTCTAAAGTTTTGGACTTCTTCATGATATTCCTTCACTTTATTCACTAGGAGATAGGTGTTTCGAAAACACCTGGACCTGGTTTGAAAAGACCTGGATCGAAAAGACTTTGGTTCGAAAAGACCAGTATTCACGCAAACAGTTGCGCGTCTCTCTTAATCSTTCGAAGATTGCTCTTGGAGTCACAATATCACAATATCGACTCTACCTAAGAAAATAAAGACAACTAGACTAACGATGAATTACGGTCAAATTTTAAATGAAATAACAACCCCCTAGCGTTTGTTACTGGTCGGTAAGATAATGGTAAGATAACGGCAAGATAACGGTAAGATAACGGTAAGATAATGGTAACATAACGGTAAGATAACGGTAAGATAACGGTAAGATAACGGTAAGATAACGGTAAATGGACCGGCAAACGGAGTTACCAACCACTTACCATACCATTTCAAAGAGTGCTGAATTTTTCTGTTGTATTCAGAAATCAAAACCATAACTCCTGCATCTCCAATCAGAAYAGTCCCAAATATGAACCCTGATAGCAAGTGGTTTATACCTGAGGAAGTTCCTATAGACCTGAGAGTCAAGACTGTAGTCTGCTTAATTCATATCAGGTGTTTAAGACCAGTGAAGGTTAGTGAATTATATGAAACCCTGAAACAACTCTGTGCTGATCTAAGTCAGAGCATGGTTAACTCACAGATCGAACCTTAAAACAACCTCTGGGCTCTTTTAAGTCAGGGCACTGCTAACTCAGAAACCATCAAACCTTCAAACAACCTCTAGGTTGTTCTAAGTTCTATCTCACAGAAACCCTGAAACAACCTCTGAACTTATCTAAGTCAAGGCAAGCTAATTCACTGATTGAACCTTGAAACAAACTCTGATTGTGAACTGATCTATGTGTAAGTCAAGGCACAGCACAGATAACTGACAGATTGAACCCTGAAACAACCTCTGGAATTATCAAAGCCAGGCCATGGCTAACCCAAAGAATTTTGAAATTGGAATTCAGCTTGTTAGGTTTTGAAGAGGGAGGAAAACAGGAGAAAACCCAACAAACAGACAATAAGTCCAGGAATCGAACCGGAGACCCCAGCGGGGAAAGACAAATGCACTGGCTACTATGCCACCTTTCATTTTCAATCTTTTTCCAAATTTACCAGTAATCGTAGTTGTAAAAATTGCACTTTCTGTTGTAACACGAAAGAGAAAAATTACACCTGGAGCACTACACTTGAAGGTGTTGTCCCAGCTAGTTCATTCATTGGACTTAAGGTTCTGCTGGCAATGTGTCATCTCAATTTTGCAGGCTTTGATGTCTGCACTTTTTCTAGAGAACATAGAAGATGTTGGGGATCTGTTCTTGGACATTGCCGAGGCATATGCTGAAACAGGTATGGAATCAGGTTTTTTAAATTTAATATTTAATATAGAGGATATTACATGGGYGCGCAACAGAACATTACATGGCCGCTTGGAGATACGAATTTTATCTTCAAGTGTTCAATTGATATCTCACGAGCCATGTAATGCTCTGTTATATACACTGTAGATATTGATAAAACTAAAATAAAACAAAAGCTCAAAAATTCTTTATTAAAATAGCAAGCCGATTCAACAGGGATATCTTCACGTGTGAAAGATATGGTATCTTCCACTGGTGAAAGATATCAAGTTTTCGACACTAGAGAAAATCTGGTATTTCATCGGTATCTATATAATAGTAATGTATATTACACGTGGCACCAGGCAATCAATTCTCTGTCTTATAGTACACTCAACAAAATTACTCGACTCTGATTGGTCAAGAGAAGTACAATTATAGCATTAATTGTACTCCGTAGGAGTACCRAATTAAGTCGCTRTGGCAACAAGGCCAAAACAATGTCAAAACAATTATTTTCTATCATTTTGTACTTAAAAAGCATAAATAAAATTYTAAAGCCGTAARMACTAATCTTTTTTATGCATTTCAGTTGCACGATGGACTGAAAATYGGCCGCCAAATAGACAAAGATGAACGGCRTCGCTTCGAATTTTTTACTGAAATTTTGTTGAGTGAACTATAAACAAACTAATTTTTTCGTCATGATGTGTTGTGTGATGTATTCTTTCTTGCTCAGGGGATTTCCTTTCCTGTTAGACAGGATAATTCCAATTTTTTTTTTCTTTCAGGAGAACATACCAATGCATTACCAATCCTTGATGCATTAATTGAAACTAACAAGTATAACCAGGTAGGTACGCCAATAGATCTTTCCTGAATTCTCATTATTCGACCATTCAAAGTCCACACATGGAGATGACAATACAATGCAGAAAGAATGAAAAATGAACAGGGGAGTGTCAGTAGGCTATCAACAGGTTCATCTGTTCACCACTGTTTTCATTGCTACACACTGGTCAAGCATCAGGCATGACATGGAAATCAGGCATACACTGCTGTCAATCAGAGTAATAATAAAAAGGTAAATTATACACAGTGAAAAGATGAAAAAACTGACGTTTCGGACGCTAGTCCTTTGTCGCTTTTTCATCTTTTCACGGTTTATAATTTACCTTCTTATCATTACTGTTTCATTAGAAACACCGAYGCAGCTCACACTAGTTTAGCTGGTTATCTCTTCTTTCAATCAGAGTATGTAAGGATACTAAACACTCCCCTTCCTAGCCAATCGGAAAGTTGGATTTATAACAGTTATTTTTTTTTTTTTTAAAGGCAGGGGTGTGGCTTAAAAAGGCCCAGTGCCTGATGTCTTTAGGTCGTCTGGAACAAGCCATTATGGCTTATAATCAAGTTGTTAACCTGGCTCCCAATCATCTGGAGGCAAGGCTCACCCTTTCTTCATTACATCAGCAGCTTGGGAGACCAGACCAGGCTCTGGATATCTTAACTGGTAACAAAGAGTTGTTTTTGTTTTATGTTTATAAGTGGTTTGTTTTCAGAAAAYGTTTGTAATATTAAGAACTGCTTTCTCCCATTTATTCATACCATTGCAAGGTTCCACTACTGTTGGATCTGGCTACTGATAAAATACTTGAAATATATTAAAGTATTCATTTTGGATGTTCTTTAGATCGGACAAGTGAGCAAGGRTATACTGGTGAGATCTTGGCAGCTGACAGTTCTCAAGACGCAACATCTGACGAAGCCATGGAAACAGACCAGGAACCACCCAAAGAGACTCCTCAACCAAGGGTTTGTATTTCGATCTCTACTTCAAAAAAAAAAAAACTCAATGAGAGGTCACTTTTTGCCCCCCTTCACCCCACCCCACCCCCTCTCTCTTCTGCCTCCATGACCACACCTTAGTTACCCATTTAGGGAGAAGGTCGAAGTGATCATCCAAAACAGGAAGTGCATTTTATTGATTTAGGTTGTGGATAAAGGTGAATACCCCCTCCCCTTAGAGAKCTGCTTAAATGCTTTATACTGCTTTTCCACAATGAAAATCCCTCACCCCCTCCCCTCCCCCCAAAAACCCCTTTTTAGCAAAAATCAAAATTCTAATTCAATTTGGTATCAATTGCTTTTGAGATGAATCTCTGGCACAGAATCACTCGGCAATCACTCCTTGCATGCTCAATGTAAAATGATATTCTTTAATACAGGATTATAGCCTGCTCTTTCACAAGTGTGTCCTGTTAGACTCACAAAACCGTACCAAGGACTTTGTCGATGCCGGCCTGCAACTGTTTTCTATGTATTTTAATGATGTCTATCACATGCTTCCTGACGAAGAGGAAAGTAAGTAAATATTATTTTAAATTGCCTGAGCTTTAAGGGATCTCTTAGTTGCCTCCGCAGACGTTATTGGGTTGTCTCATTGTCATGTCGTCATGCAATGTTTGTTCACCATGCTGCATGATGACCCTTAACAAATTATCTGCTTTGGAGGCTATTGATCTTTTTGCAGTTCTCTACCTTTCTCCCTGCACAAAACCCATTCTGATTAGTGTCTGATGACATGGAACTAATTATTGAAGAACACTACACATTTGATAATTTGCTTTAACTTACTACTATTTTCATAAACATGCAAACTAGGTATCTTCAAGCTGCACACTGAAATTTGGCTTTTTGCTGTCAATCAAATCTAATCAGTCGGTATCTTTCATATTTTGACTAGCGGCAGCGAAAAACCAAATTTCAGCGTGCAACTTGCATCTACCTAGTTTGCATGTTTATGCATGTAAATGGCAGTAAAAGAATGAATTTATTTTACGAAAAATAATGAAAAAAATATGTAGTTTCTACATTTTATTTTGTTCAGCTTTCAAAAAAGGAACATACTTTCTGTCTTCATTTAGATCAAGGCGCAGCAGTCGTTACGGGTATACTGAACCCAAAACTAAAAATATGGCCCACTGAAGCTTATATCAAGGTTGTGTTCTCATCCTTTCTTCCCCCAGAGGCATTCCAGTTCATTTTCCCACCCATTTAGACCTTCCTGCTAACCTCTCTCACCTAACATAGCAACACACTTTATTCCTTAATTCAATGTTTTAGGATGTCTCGCATTTAAACTTAGAAAAAGGAATTCTGGAAAAAAAGCCACAGACACCGAAAGTATAGGTAAGAGTACTTAACTGTTATTCTCATAAACATGCGAACTCTGTAATTGGGATTTGCCTATTGGAATTTGGTTTTTCGCRCCGCCAGTTAAATACCTAAAAGGTACCGACTGGCTAGTTTGGATTGATGACAGCAAAAAAACAAATTTCAGTGTGTAGCTCGGAGCTACAAATTTCATTTACATGTTTGTGAAAATAGCAGTAAGGCCAACCAAACCTTTGAAGAATTCCCAAAATAAAGCGTTTGAGTAATTTATTTTATTTTATGTCTAAGATTCTGAGACTCCTAAACCCAAGAAAAGTAAAAATAGAAAAGAAAGTGAAGACTTAGGTGAGAGATTTTTGAAAATTTTCTTAATCCCTTGCCATTTGTTTTTTTTTTCCATTTCAAACTTTTCTTTCACTAATTTCATTTCTTCATCTCTCCACCCTTTTTTATTTCTCATCTTTACTTGCCATTATCTAATGGGACGGAATAGTCCATTAATGACTTTCTGAATTCCAATTTTCATTTCCCATTTTTCTTTCTTGCATTCATTTTTTCAGTTCCAGCATTAAGAGCGAAGGACGATACAGGGTTTCGAGTAGAGGAATGGTGGGACATGCTAAAGAAGGTAACTCTCAAAACAGAAACAAGTGGGAGAATGGGAACGAATTCATTTGATGCGCGAGGACTGGGCAAACCAACTCAGAAAACAATTGAAGAGACTTCCACACGCAACAAAGAAAATGTCTTTGATAGATTCCCCCCAAAAAATAATGCCTTACTCCCGAAGAAGCTGAGGCGTCGTACGGACTTCGGAGTTGAGAGCAATTAAACACGTCGAGCATTTTGACTGAGGTTTTGCACCATCACGTGACGGCAGCCATGTTAGATCAAACATAGCTTYAAATTTCAAATTTCTTATTTTTGTCATTGAAGGTTATTTTTCAAGCGTCATCCATAAAACGACACAAAGATGCCGAACACCTTATCCTCTGTGGCCTCAACTCACGGCGACTCACACCTTACAAAGATTACCAACAAGAACTGGAATTCATGAGTGTTTTTGCTTCTTACATCACTGAAAGATACTCCCTGGCTTTTGACTACCTTAGACCGTTCTTGAGCTCTATCCCTGAGAAGACAATGCTCTGGAATATGTTAGCGTTGATCGTGTGCAAGACAGAAGATATCAGACACCATCGATTCTGTATGCGGTTGATGGCCAAGCACCCTGATAACCTTGCCCTGAATATTATGAATGCTCACAATGCATTCGTGGCTGGGAACTACAAATATGCGATCAGTACGTAGGGGAAGTAATATTTCAAAACCGACAATGAGGACTGTACGGGAACTAATTGCGCGGACTTGAAATCCCGTCCAGTCCAATATTGGAGGCTTTGAAAGCAATTTCTCATCTCATTAATTATTCGATTTAAAGTAACTGGAACAAAATTAATTCAGTCCTAGGACTGAATTAATTTTGTTCCAGTTACTCCAGACTGAATGCATTCCTTTCACAGCACTTTACAAGGTTTCAATTAACATAATGTGACCCAAAAATAGCCCATTGATTGGCTGGTTTACTCATGCATTATTAATGAGTATGAGAAATCGCTTTCTAATATTTACAGTTAATGTAACTCAGAGGATTGAAAATCGAATTCTTATAAGCCAACGTAAAATTGCGCTGTCAACGCGGGACAAATTGCAGCGTGTTATCTAGTTTTCTTCAGTGGTCGCAACGTTCCTAACATTTGACTCAACAAATGTGGGGTCAAACTGTTTGGACCGCTTATCAGGGCCTTAATGATGAAAGTGGGTGAAATATTAGTTCGTTTTTTTCAGCTGAGTATGTACGCGCATTCCGTCAGAGGCCGGACGACCCGTTGATCAGTCTGTGTTTAGGAATACAGTTTATACATCTTGCTTGTCAGAAGTTTCCAAGAAAAAGGCACATAACTGTACTGCAGGTAATTTATCCTTCCATCCATTACATAACCACCTATTATTTCATCTATTCATGCATCCATCCATTCATGCACCATCCATTCATGCATGCATCCATCCATCCTTCCTTCCTTCCTTC